GAGAAAGAGCGCAACTGGTGATTCAACAAAAAAGCTACAAAATACTGCGCAGCCATTTGACCGCAACCAAGGGAAAAAACTTAGTACTTCCGGCATGATTTGTTGCAAACCACTATCCCACGACAGTAATTTTGAGCGTAAAAATAAAAAGACAAAAAAAATGAGGTAAGTTAGGCGTAATCAAGTGAGGAAGACATAATAAACATTTGCTAAGACGACACGAAACTAAAGGCTTCAGAATGATATTGCATCCAATAAATTTCCCATATAATGCTACTCTGATTCCCGTAAAAATACAATATTAACAGCTCGCTTTTTAAACCCGGTCCATACCTGAGATGCGTCATTGTAATCAAACGTCCACAAAATACATCTCGCAGCAAATTATAAGCGGGTGATTTTCAATAATAGAAGTGAAATTAACAAAAAACTCTGTACGTAAAAATTTGCCGCATCTGAACACTACCCAACTGTAACTATTAGACCCACTAGTACAATGACGCATACGATAGAACCAGAAAACGGAATAAAGAAGACACTAAGCGACAGGTAAGAAATGGCAGTGACAGGCTTAGGCAAAAGTAATAATAGAACTTCGCAACCAAACCTTTCCGCACGCAACTTCCCGTCATTTTAAATAAAATTCAAGAAAAAAAGCCACGCAAAATACACCAACCTGAACAAAAAATATACCTCAGAGGATAACAGCGTAACGGCTTAGAGCATCAACCTTGTTAACTCTAAACTCATTTTCAATTCACCAAATTCAAATTTCACCAATTTAAGATGACTCGAAAAATTAAATTTGCCAAATTAGCACCCTGCATCAAGCTATTCTGCATTTACAGAAATAAATAAACTAATCCTTGAGAACGCACCTCTTATCCTCCTAACAGGTAACAAAAATTAAGAATCTGTGTGAAACAATATAAAAACCCTAGAAAGAAAAAAAAAACAAATAATACAAGTTCCCAGAAAAAAAAATCACAACTTCAAATGCAACGTTAACTGAGCTTATGAAGAATCCCAGTAAGAGAAACAAGTAACTTTTCCAATATCGAGAACGCTGAAAAATGACAGTAATATAAAAATAAAAGTGATAAAAGTAACATGAAAAATAAAAGTTGCAGAAGAAATAAACTGACGATCGACTTTAAAACAATTCTGTAAGTAACTGCAAATGCAGAATCCGAATTCAGACCGATCTATTCCTGCTCTCAATCTTCCAAGAACTCTAGGTCCCCGTCCCTAGCACAGTAATACGCTAAAAGCCAATTTCCTCCTACTCTTCCCATATAAATAAGTTAGTACCTTCTTGTGTAAACAATTAATCCTTTCAAAAAGTCAACCATTAGCCGCCAGCAGACATCAAGAATGTTCTTTGTTACAAAAAAAAACTCATTTCACGATTAAGGTGCAAAGATAACTGACCACGTTTCACTTCACTGCACCCAACTACCCATCAAAACCTTCATATTAAATTACCTATGCCGACGAATATCCCAATAAAGAAACTATTTCCTGTATAATGATGTGAAACGCGACCTTAGTATTACCCTTACTGCTTTGTCTGAGGGCTTATGCTTCAGAAATAGACTAGTAAAATTGATTTTAACAGTACCTACTCGACCAATAAAATTAAATCCAAGTAGAGTGCTTCAAGAGTAAGCCACCAGCCCCGAGTTCTTCATTTGCAGCAACCTAACAAAACAACTATGCTGTTATCTGCAATAGAAAAACAAACCAACAAACTTACGAAGTGCGACCAATAAGAAACGCCAGCCCCATAAATGTTGATATGTAAAAGAACATAAACGGGAAACTAGAGGAGGAAATGAGCTTGATCCAAAATAATCTTCCTAAATTGTGTAACCAAAAATAATAACATCAAACTCAATCACAAGCTATCAAAGCCTAGCAAAAGGATGAAAAAAAAGAAACAAGAATTATTTGTAAACAAAAGTAAAAAAGGCAAGAAGAGGTAAAAAGTAAATCTTGAAGCAAAACCTTTAGGTCACCAGAAGAGAAATTCGCTTCGTCGTTGGGAAGGATTGTTCTCAGATACTCTTTATTCTTATCACCGCTGACAAAACCATAAAAATCCAGTATAGCAGGAACAGTCTTTAATTTCTGACGATTCTGACCAGCCACTTCACAGCAAAACTGCTTTGAAATCCGGCTCTCTTTAAACAATGAGCAGCTCGATTCACTAAGAGTCAAGTAAGGAAACAGAACGAGACTCTGCCCCTGCACAGCCAAATTATCATACGATCTTCTCCGAAGTACAACAGCCATATTTGAGTCAAAAACATGGTTCAACTTTTCTGGTTTGCGCAAACACCGTCCAGAATCTGAAGACGTCCTTCTGAAGCTGCTGGAGTTCTCCCCAACACTCTTATCACAATTGGAAGTGCATCCCAAAGTTCCCTGCTTATGATTAGAGACATCATCTGGATTTACCACCATCCTGGATTCATCTGCCAATAAGGTATCAGAATCAGAACCCATGCTTGACAACCCTGAATCATTCGAAAATCCTATTCGAACATTGAAAGACGGTGCTAAACGCCTTGTTCCATCTGGTACCACTGACCGCGCAGCAACCACATTTCTAAATAAATGGCAACTTCAAAATCTATGTATCTTCACTGCTACAAGCAGATAAATCAGCAAAAATGGAAAAACAAATAAAACTAAAACTCCATTCTCACTCAAAAAAGTAAACGGGTAACAAAAAAACAAAAAACTGAAACAAAACTCTCAGACAGAACCAAAACAAAATCAACGAGAAAAAAACCCACTTTCCGAGAGCAGAAGCATCAAGACGAGGACACTTATCAGCAACATGGTCACTCCCACTGCACAGTGAACATTCGGTCTTCAGACCTATGCTCATCCGCTTGGGTTCACATTTTCTGTACAAACTTCTCTAGAAAAAATATTTTGAAAGAAGCGTGAATACGAGCGCAAACCACCCAAATCTATATCTTTTCAATGTGAAGAAAAATGGAATAACTGATTAAAGCTCTTACAGCGTGTGAAAAATCTAGCTCTTTTCCAAACTGCAGGAACAAACCGCTAACAAAGTGATAATAAGTTAAGGCAAACGTCTCTCTAATATGTGACAGAGCTAAAACAGAGAAATATTATGAGCAACAGACAAATATCTGCGACTTACAAAAAAACCGCACCAATCGAAAGTACAAATTTAACTAGAATTCTCTTTCATATTGAATAGATATTCAAAATTTAAGAAAAGACTCAACAGCTGCAAAATAAATATTTTTGTTAAAAATGTTTAATATTTAGGTTTACAAGCTGCAAATTCCCAGTCACTTATATTTAAGGCTAAAACAAGCTTTATCTTCCATTGTTGGCAGGTGTTTTAACACACTTTGTAGAAGCCAGGAAGTGAAAATGAAAAGAATTTAAAAAGAGGAACAGACAAATTACCATCACTATCAACAGTTGCTGCAAGGTTGTGGTTAAGAACAAATGGATCTTCCACTGCGAATGGACTACTGTCCCAGCCTTTACGTTTCTTCACAAGCACTTTAGGGTGACGAATCTGTACAACTTCATTGACGTAATCAAATTTCCATGCGTAATAGGCGAAGAATTCTAACCATAACTCCGCTACAGACTGAGAATTTGGAGCCAACCAAATCTATAAATACAGTCCCCATAACCACACAAAAACACCACTCACGAAAAGGAAAAAATGATGAAAAGAAGCCTTCATAATTCTAGACAGTGATGTTAAATAATGTCAATATCAAATTTAAATATTTATAAGCCTTTGAAAAATGACCATCTCTTCAGGATTATAAAAGTACACATCCCACTCTCCAATCAGCACTGGTTTCTTCGGTTTTGTTGGAATAGAAACCTTCAAATCATTAAAATAAAAAAGGACAAGTGAAATATACATTTGAACAATGAATAGATAGAAACAATGAAACGAATTCAACTCTTTAAAAAGACACCTGTTGTAAAAAAGGTAACACTGGTCTTTCAAGCCTTTGAAGAAAGTGCAGCAACATAATAATATAAGCATACGACGACAGCCAACCCTCTGAAGCCCCACTTATGTTACAGCATTTTGTCCAAACCTTTAAAGCTACTCCTAATTGAGGCACCCTCCTGTCCAATCTCCCATAACTTTGCAAAAGATTGGTATTTTGTATGGCAACCTCATTGCAGATAGTCAAACTAAA